AACTACTAGTCAGGCACTAAATATTAGCTCACGATATTTATATACATATTTCCCATTCTAGAATAATGCCAATTTTTTTTTCTTTCTACTGTCTATCAAACAGATTCAGTTAATTTACAATTGAGAACTAAACATTGATGAAATTTTCAAAATAATCCATCACTTTTTAATTATAAGGTTGGCCAAGATTTTGTTACTAATAATTATTTCGTTTATGCAACCTACTATACTGGTTTAAGTCAGACACTAATAAAGCAGAAAATATTTTTATATTTTAAAATTAGTACTTCCAATTGTTCAGCTAATTTTAACAGAGATGATATAAAGAAAACCATGGAAAAATCAATAATTATTAATATTTTTAGTAGGAAGGCAGGCCACAGGGATAAATTTTGGTTATGACACTGTATATAGTGTATATGTATATATTGTATTCTATATTAAATCAGTCAAAAAAAAAACTAGATTCTCAACTGAATCCCTTTAATTTTTAAAAAATTTGTATCTTGGTATGGTAGCATACTAACCAATAAAGTTTAAAATGTTACTTTTCACGGCTTACATTTTGTTATATGTCCATCTTTAAAAACACGAAAATTTAAAAATACACCATTTACATTTAAGTATCTAAAAAAATAATTAAGCTAAAACCATAATTTAAATTTTATTATATAGCACTATAATAGACCTTTAATATGACATAAAATTTTTTATAGTGAAAATCAGCTTATTATCAGAAACCGAAAATAAAAACCAGAAATGGCTTTTCTTCCACTTTTATTTTACATTTAGACATTATACTCACTAATACTTGTAGAAAATCCTAGACTGGAAGGAGTATTGGGGGAAGAGTTATTACACTTTAAATATAAGTTGTATGGCTTAAATCCTATATATTAATTTAATTTTTAAAAATTGGTCAAAAAATAAAATTAAAACTAAAATTCTAAAACCTCGATTATTTTGAGCTTTAATAAATACTAAAAATGCAAAAATAACCCAAATTGTACTATATTATTATAAAAAAGCAAAAAGTTTTAAGGGATCACTATAAGGAATAAATAATAATGATTTTGTAAAGAGAAAATAACAAATATTGTAATAAAAAGTAAGTCAATGTCTAATAATCTCTTTACCGGATGAACCTTCGCCCCGCAAAAAAATTCTTCTTCAATTTGAAATTTTTAACCTGATAACTTAGTGAGTGAACTACAGGGGCGTCACTAGCCTTTACAATCTTAGGGGGCTAGGCTAAAAAAAATTTTATGGAGAGCTTCGCCCCCCATACCCCCCCAATTTGCGGGCCTTTGGCCAGCTTTTGCCCGGCCTTCGGCCGGGTTTTATATTAATATATTATCCATTTTTAAAATATGCTAACTCTAGACAATTATTCTGAATTTCATATTTTGCCATTTATAATATTTTGCATACAAAATAAACCATATAAATAATTAAAACAATACAAGACATTTCTAAAAATAATATTTTTTAATACAAAATCTATTTATTATAATATACAATATTTTCGATTGCTGATATAAAAAAAATTTGCGTCTAAAGAATTACAAGTGATTAAAAAGATTAATTAATTCATGCATATGCCTCAATTGATAATAGTTTTTAAAAACCACATAATGCAATAATATAATTCTTAGCAACTTACATTGACAAAAGTTTATCAAACTAATATAACTCTCTGTTATCATATTACACAATGTTTTATAGAATAGACTAATAAGGAAAAATTTATAGGCTTTACTAAGTCAACAGTTCTCGAAGAAGAAACGACCAATCCAAATCATAAAACTATATGGTGGCTAGAGCTTCCTCTTAGATAACATGATGGAAGCTAAATTAATAATCGAGAAAATTTTTGTGAGATATAAAATTTCTAAAAGATTATCTTCCATTTTTAATGTTATATAAACGACCACACAGTTGATCATTATTGCTTTTCTATATCTGCTCTCAGCACAGCAGCTATAGTAATAATCTTAAATTACATAGCTACACAAATAATAGATGCTGGTTAATTTAAAGACATATCAGAATTTATTATAGATGAAAACAAAAACAGTAAAAATCTTTAGAATAAATTATGCAAATATATTGAGGTCTTGAGTTATTTACACGGCAAGGAAGCATATTATAAATGAAACATTTTGTAACTATAAAATCCAAGGTGATATGATGAAAGTAATTAAGATTTTATATTATTTTTGCACGACCTCTAGTTGGTATATTATATCTTAAAATAATAGTAGATTGTAATAATATCAAAAATATATTCAGATTAAAAATTTAACTCAAACTGTTTTTCAAAGTAGAAAAAAATAGCTTTCCTAAAAACTAAAAAAAGAGAAGAAAAGATATCTAATTTATTACATCGATTGTGAGATGAATATTAAGAAGTTTTATTTTAACAATATATTTAATAAATAGATAACGTTATATAATTGAATGCAAATTGTTACTTATATTTATTATCAAAAGCATTTATTATTAAAATTTTAAAATTATCAACTGTAATATATTATATAACTGTCAAATACGTCTGTAAAAGTGGCATTTTACCTAATTTTTATATATAATATATTATAAAGGATTGTAAACTATATATCTACTTACGTTTATAAATAAATATCTTATACTCATTTGGATTTGGATCTTGAAAATAATTTTAGGAGACATGATAATTAAATTTAAAAATCAATAATGTAGTTGAATAGTGATTTTGAACTCGGCTAAATTTTCAATTAATAAATGATTATATTTATTTAATTAAGGTTATATAATTATTTAAATAATAAAAGTCAATTAAGCTTCAACTGTTAATGCTAAATTAATATTTATTGAGTGATATTGATATATTTTTAACACAGAATTTGATTGCAAGCTGACAGAGTGAACATATATGTATTAATCTAATCTAATAATTAATATAGTATTCAATAAAAATTTAGATAGTTTTATTAATTTTTAAATAATAAAATAATTTATTTTTAGTTCAATAAGGAGCAATTAAAATAAATTTTTTGATTCAGGGGCTATTCAAATTTTTCAGGGGGCTCGAGCCCCCCCCCTTCTAGCGACGTCCCTGTTGAACTATGTACTTTATTTTTTATTGCCAAATAATTGAATCTTTGTGATGATTAAAATGTATTTTATTTTTATTGTAAATATTATTATTTTTTTGATAAATTCAATTTCATTAAATTTAAAATATGATATATGAACTCAATAATTTATATTAAAAACAAATAAGCATATATTAAAAAAAAATAAAAAAAATATATGATATATAAAATCTATTAGAGAACTGAGAAAAAAAAGGGGCATATAACCCTAAAGAAGTTAATGCTTAAAAAATCGGATCGGCAGATTTCCAGGAAATCTGCTGACGTAGGTAATACTTCCTTGAGGTTCCCTGAAATCTGTCTTATTTTTTTCCTATGGTTTTAATGTTTTAAAAATTTTGGTTCGTCATAACAAATAAAATACAGATTGTTAAAATAAATCAAATTTAACCTTCTAATTTTTAAATATTTATATTTGACATAGAGTCATATAGGAAATTAATTTCCATAACAACAGTCGTCATTTTATTGATAAATTTTATATCACCATTTTCTACGAAATTTTATTTTCTCTTAACGGGCCTATGAGGGTCTGGCTGGGCCAGCGTCTACATGAGCGGGAGGGGTAGGAACAGTTTGCATCCTATTTTTATGGGGGTAAGCTGCTTTAATGGGGGGGATAAATTTTTTGGGGTTTATTAATTAAATTTTGAGATGAAATAGGACAAAATTTATTGCTGTAAATACTTTTATTATAGTATTATAATACAATTCATCGACCAAATCTATATATTGCAAACAATCATACACATTGTTTTCCAAATAAACTATCCTTTTAAATGTAATTTAAAAGTTTTAGATATTTGAGCAAGCTCATAATGCCATAATAATTAATTCATTGTAAATAATGGAGGTTTTAATTCAATTTATTATCTAAAAAATAAATCCTTTATATTAACAAAATATCGATAATTGGTAGTAGAGATAGATTAATTTAAGTTATCCTTTATAAATTAGAGGTGAAAATAATGATAAAAAGACACCGCCGCCGAAGGCGGTGAGAATTTTTTTTGGGGGTAGGCAAAGGTTTTTGAAGGGGGTTTGCATCCAGTGAAAATCCTGTCATGTAGACGCTAGGCTGGGCAAACCTTTACCATGAGGGTATCCAAAAATGATTTTTATGCTTCATAATAATAAGACTCATTCCACATACAATTCTAATAAGTTATTATGCTTCATAATAATAAGACTCAATCCACATACAATTCTAATAAATTATTGGATCTTACCCTATTATCTCCCCCATAACTATAGGGCACTAATATTTCCTTTAAAATATTTGCAATATTTCGTTTTTCGACAACTTTCGGCATTTTGCTTATGAAATTAATTTTTCGTAAGAACTAAAAATTTAAATTTTTTATGAATAACCTAAAAGTTTACAAAATATATTTCCCTAAATTCAATATAAAAAATTGTTCCTATATTTTATATGGTTATACAATTGACACTCCTAATTGTCCAACATATTTTATAGTATCTGCAGAAGTTGATATAAAAAATATTTCTCAAAACAATATTGATAACAAGTTAAAGCTAAAAATAATTGGATATTTAAATAAAGATTTTGATGAAAACTTAAATAAAAACTTAATACATCTATCATATATTGAAAATAAATTAGTTATAAATCAATTTTTTTTTCATAAAAATTGCCTTACATATATAATACTATATGAAAAATATAATTATTTAAAAATTACTAAATTTTTAAATATCAATACAGAATATATTAAAAATCCACATAATGAATATGACGTTAAATATATGAAATCAAATTCTTATATTAATAGGTCAATTAAAAATTCTCAACTTAAATCACACATAAAAATAAGCATATCTAGATACAAATCTATTAATCAATATACAGGAAATTATATTATCATGGACATACTAAATTTGATAGTTGGCATATTGATCCTTAACTATTTAATCAATAATTCTGAGTTTAAGGACACTATTATTTATCTTCAAAATATATTTGAGGTAGTAATATTTATAAAATCTTAGTATAATTAAAACTAATGAATTTTGTAAAAGAATGTAGCTTGTAAACTTCAACAAATTATTCAATGGTTAATGGGCATCCCATCTGGGCTCAAATTGGTTAAACCCTTAACATCCTCCTTAGGACATTTTTTTGTATTTCACATCAGATTATGGACAGGTAATGAAGTGTTAGTATTAATTTATCAGTATCAAAAAAATCATTTAAATAACCAACCTTATAATATACTTGTAACTATTATTAACTTAACAGATTATGTTAGATTGACTGGTCCCCTTTTATCTCAAATTCTTTTCTTAGCTAGATACATACCTTGCTTTGGCTTCACATATTTTATAGCATTTATGGCTGATGTTACAACTCTCATGGCATTACACATATTTTGCTTATATGTCTACGCATCAAAGTAATTTAAATATAATTCTTTTACATACAGATACAATACAGACCATTTGGGTGTCATTCCATATAAAATCACTCACAACTCATCCCTTTTGATTTTGATATTAATTTATAAGATCCTAGTTAAGCCAACAACAAAATTTTTAGGGCTGTGCTGATATTAAATATATGATCAGGATCAATATTTAGAATTTTTAAAAAATAAGACCAATATTTTTTAAAGAACTGATCTGATAAAATTCTCATTTGTTTGGGTTATTTTATGATATTTATAATTGTAGAACCTAAAAGAAGAACTAAAATTAAATTTAGATGTAATGTTTAAAAAAATAGGAATTAATGGAGCTAAATATTAAAATATGATGTTATATTATCAGCAATAAGTAGGGATGTACCAATATTTTTTATCGGATCGGGCCACTATTTCACCCATTTAAAAATATTGGTTATCGACCAATAATTCCGATCCTATAAAAAATGGCGTATTTAACCAATATAAAATTTTTTAAAAAAGTTATATCTAAAACATTTATTTTTATAAATAAAATCGAAATTCATTTTAGTTAAATTTTTTAAAATAATAATTAATAAACATTCTGTCATATTGTCATTTTTTTTAGCATCTGTTTATAAAAGTGTGCGATAATCTTTTCAGAATCTGTTTTTAGTGAAATTTACAGTCCCCATCGCTGCAGACTGACCTCTGATAAATTGGAAATTTTGGTATTTCTGTCATCGCTGTTTGATTTTTATCGATAAATATATATTTTTTATAGAATGTCAATCATTTTATGATAAAATATTTCTTGTTTTAAAAAAAATTATTCGATTTTTTAAGAATTATTATGATTTTTATTATTTTTTTTGAAAATATTTTTGATTGATATATGTTTCATCATTAAAAATAAAATATTTGAAACATAATCTTGATTTTGGTAATCTTCTTAATTTTTTGGTAATTTCTTCTTAATTTTGTCAAATCAAAACAAGCTTGGTATACGTGAACAGAGAAAAACACATCACTTCTAATTGAACATAAAAAAAGATATACATGATAATGAGAAAAACACATCACTTCTAATTGAACAAAGAAAACAAAAATATAAATGGTAATATAAAAACATATCATTTGAACTAAGACATAATAACTAAAACTAGTTAAAACACAACACTTAAGGGCGATTTTTGGATTTTAAAAATCTGTTTTTACAGGAATTGTATTCCAGCATATGTAGAGAGAGTATTTACCCTAGAAATTTCCGCCAATTATAGCAATAGACATTTTAGTATTTTTTAATTTATATGAAAAATCCATATAAAAATTAATATAAATTAGAAGTAGTTATAAAGTTCATGGCAAAATTGTTTGAAATTTACAGTTTGGGTACTCTACCCATGCTAGTACATTTCGGTTAAATCGAATTTTAAAATTTTTTAAATCACTCTCGGTAAAGGATTTAAAATCAAGAGATTCTGAATCCCCACGGATTTCGAATCCCAATACGACAGTTATATTAAATTTGAAACTTGGTATATTTATAAACTAAATTTATTATAATTAAGTAAATGATGACTAATAAAGGTGAGTGGAGGGGGAAAATTTTAATTTTTTTTTTAGTTGTTCATCTTGGTATCATGCCGCATGATATACTCTTTTTTTGTGTTTTGATTTTTTGTCGCGTGACCTTTTGCAAAATTTTGCTTAAGCTTAAAATTTGTCTGCTCAATTTTAGAATAAATATTGCAAAAAAAATTAACCTATATTTATATTATTAAATTAAGTTATGTAAAAAATGTTTTAATATTGTATAATATTTTAAAATATATATATAATATTGAATTATAAATAAATTATATTAATAGGTAAATAATATTATAAATATAATAAAATATTTAAAGTAATATTATAAATATAATAAAAATAAAGTTATACTATATGTAATTATAATATTAATTATTATATTATAATTAAATCATATTAAATATTACAATTATATATTACTAAAATTTATATTAATACAATTTATATATTTTTCTTTATATCAAATTAATTTAAATTAAATATATTAATTACTTTAAATATTATATTAAAATTATATTATGTTAAATATTACAATTATATATTTATTAAAATTTATATTAATACCATTTATATTAAATTTGATTTTAATTTTAATTATGTAATTATATTAAATATTTGATTAAGGTATTTACTAAAATTTATATTAATACAATTAATAAATTTTTCTTTATATGATATTAATTTAATATTATAAAATTTAATCTGTAAAAGTTAAATTTTTAATATTTTTTCAAATCTCTCACTTCAAACCTATATAAAAATTTTTTTTTGTAGGAGTTATTGTCCTTCAATATTTTTTCTCTCGCTAATGAAATAATATTATATGCATAATATTTTTTTTATTCTTTAAAAACATTTTATAGCCATATATGTATATATTACAATGGTTAAAATATAATTATTATAAGATGAAATTTCCGATTTCTTACTCTAAGTTTTCATATTGTTCTGGAAGTAGAACATAAAATAGATTTAAAATATTTTTTTAAAAAAAAATAATAAAAAAAATAATTTGTCTTAATAATTTAATGCCTGCAGTAAGGTTTTTGCTGATAAATTCTAAATGTTATCAAATATGAGAATGGGAAATTTAAAAAATGAATTATTTTACTTTTTGATAGTTTCATCCATATGAATAAGACATCTGCAAGGCGCTGAAATCCCTAAGGCGATGTCCTGGTTCGTCTTATTTCTAAACAGGTTAGGCATCTATAGCTTCTTGCAAACCGTTTAAAAAGAAAGAATTTAGATTTACTTGCGTAACTTATCTTTGTGACTCTTTCCAAATCAATATATTTATTCGTTGTAGAAACTTAAAATAAACCAAAAATAGTGTGTTCTAGTTCAAAAATGTTTAGCCTGGGCTGAGCAGAAATAAGTTTCAAAAATAAAATAAATGACGATACGGCCTAAGACATTTACTTTAAAATAGATCATATTCAATTAGATTATATTATTGCAACCAACAGATGGGCGTAATTTGGACCTCTATTGTTTAGAGGTTACATTTTAAGATAAAATATTGCATATTTCGATCATATTGATTAGCTCTATCCCTTTTACCTACTCTTATAATACTCGCCTCGAGATATGAATTAGGTTATATTCATGCTAATTATAGTAAATATTAAATAATTTTGTAATGAATGATTTGAAGGGAATATTAAAGCATGATTTAATATGATACTTTAAATTATAATTCACTTTTATAGGCATTAAAGGAGATAACGCATCACCTTTTGCAAAATTTTGTTTTCGAGGGCCGAAATTTTTTGGGTTATGAGTAAGGAGGGGCAGAGTTGGAACGGGTTCCCGTAGTTACGACCCTGTTAACAGAACAGATGGTTATACAAATTTTTTTTAAAATTATGTCAAAACTAAAAAATTAATATCTTTTTTAAAACAAAAAAAGGATATACAACACCCTTATTGTGGCCCTGATTTCCTTATTTAGACTGTTCAGAGGCAAAAAATGGAACTCTCTGCGTAAAAGGTTTTTTTTAAAAAAATAAAATATATTTTTTGTAATGAACCACTTTGGCCTTTTATAAAACTAAGTAATGATTTATATTAAGTGGACTAGTTATCGAGCCTTCATTATATATAAAAAAATTCTTCTTTATGATCCTGGAGGGAGACAGATATATTTCTGAATCTTTTCTCTTTGATATTAAATGCCCAATTCACTCTTTCTTCGGCTAGTCGCGGAGTTTTTTTTGCTACGACCACATTGATAAAATTTACCAAAAAAGTCTAACTATAAGAAAAAAACGGCTGTCATTCATGATCACCACCACCTTTTATCTCTATCCCTTTGAATCGAAGCAAGCTTTTATATTTTATAGTTCACAGATATGTGGCATACTTCGCGTTATCTTTTTTTAAACTAAATAATAATCTAATGATTTTAGAAGTGGGATCTTAGGTCGGTCCAATGACATATAATGATACCTAGACTGACGATGCATTCATAATAATGCATTTGAAAGCGTCGTTGAATGCAAATCAGCTGGACCCGCCATTTTGGTAATTCATATAGTAATTATTCTCTTGTTAACTACTATTAAATTAATAACTTCCTTCCTTATTATCTCGATGCTCAGGCAATTCTTTAATAAAGTTTGCGCCAGACATAGGAATAAATTGGCCTCTCGTTAAAATTTTTTAATAATAATATGGGTAATCAAAATGGCGGTCCCAGCTGTTTTCATTAATGTACACTTCTAATGAATGCATCGTCATCTATGTATTATTATACGTCATTGGGTCGGTCACCCTGATATACATCTTATATGATATATTAACACGCGAATGCCGAATAAAGACTCCTATGCATTGACTCGCGAGTTAATCTATTTTCGCTTTCTTCAAAGTTAAGCTTTATTTTCTAAAATTACTCAACTTTACGATTTATTTATTTTTGAGAGGGGGGGGGTGATTATTGCTGCTCTATTTTTTTTCATAAATAATTTAAAATGGATTTTTTTTTTAATTTATAAAGGGTCGATCACGCCTCGTACGAAATTGATCAGCTGTTCCTGGGGACTCTAATATTTACGATCTTGCTTTTCATTTTCCCATCTGTTTTCATATTTTACGCTGTTTTTGCCGGGGTTTATTTATATTATCTTATCCCGGAAATACAATCTACACCGATTGTTTTTTTTTAAAAAACTAATTAATTTTTTCATTTAAAAAAAAAATAAAATTAATTTAATAATTATTTTGAATTTTTTTAAAATGTTTTTGTAATAGAATTTTATTTACCTTTCTAAAGTATCATTTTAAACTTTAAAGTGCGTTATTATTTCAAACTTCTACAGTAACATTTTAAACTGGGAGTGTTTCATTTCAAAATTTGAAGAAGAAAAATAACACTACGCTTGTCACATGCTTTATGGCATTTGGGAATATAAAATGATATTTTTCAAGTTCGAAATGATGCAATGTAGAAGTTTTAAAATGATAACTTATAAATCTCATAAATATATTGAAATTAAGTCTTTTAAAAATACTTTGATTAGTATTCAAGAAAAAAATAATTACATATCATTTTCATGATAATCTAATGTAGACTAGGGGTATTTATTTATAATAATTAGTGGTCGCACAGTATAAAAGCATAAATCAGCAACTCAATTAGAACTAGATGCTTTTAACTTCCCAACCAAAATAAGGCAGTTGTTCATAATCATAAATAATTTAATTAAATACAAACAAGATTTTTTTTTTTATTATAGATATATTTTTAACGTATAATTATAAAAGCTTAGATTGGCCATGTTGTTGATATCATTTTTCGTGTCAATATTCATTTGCTCAGTCTTGAATTTCCCGATTTTAACCTTAGCTTCACGCCTCTTACACCGCTCTCTTACTCAGAATGGTAGCGGAATTTATTATTATCATTTCGCTCAAAGCTGGTTTACATTTAGCAATAAATAAGGTATTTAAAGATGCAACCATCCAAAGTTATCTCTTTTGTTTTGGAGAGTTTTATATCTTTAATATCTCAATATTGCTTAAGAATAGGCAAATCAGATTTGGAACATAGTCTTTATTAAAAATATCTTTGAATAAATTAATGAATATATTTATTATTTCATATATTAAATGAATAAGGGATCTCATGAAAAAGTCTTTAAAAAAATGGCATAACATTTTTAATATTTAATGAAAAAAAAATAAGAGATGCACTCGATCCACTAATCACGGTATCGGCCGATGCCATGTTAATATCGATTTCGGCAACTTTTGTATCGGTATCAGCTTAAAAGATGGTAATGGTGCATCTCTGTTAAAAAAACCAATTATTTTTGAATAATTACAACAAACGAGCAAGTCAAAACTGAAGGAAATGTTTATTTATATAATCTTTAAATACAAAAAATAATAAATCCTCTAGGGTCGATTTATTATGACATAGCTGATGTAACTTCTTCCCCCCATACCTTATATTTGGATATGAAGGTTTGGTTAATTTACACATTTGGTTAATTTACACATTTGGTTAATTTACACATTTGGTTAATTTACACATTTTTAATTATTAATTTTACAATAATTTTCTTTCATATTATTAAAATACTAATACTAAGTGTGATTTTAAAATTTGGAAGAAAAAAAATAATCTAGACTAGAAAATATATTCCAACCTGTATTATAGTGCTCTCACAAATGAAATTTTATTATTTTACCGCCTAACCTATATGAGATACTCCTACATTAATTATCTTAGGATATATTTTCGGTCAAATGTAATATTTTTTTTTCCAATACAGAGTTACTCACAGATGTAAATTTGATTTTACCTAGAATTTTTGAGAACTTACTCTTAATTTTACACAAGGTGACTCTACATTATGTTATGCTAAGAATGATTCCCCACTCTTGTATCAATTACAACATACATAATCTCTTAATATTTAGGTATCCCAGATAAGCTTTGTTAGCATAATGGCTCAATACATCCACTCCGTGCGTTATTATAATGCGCCATTCAATTTGGACTGGTACAACCTCCCGTTATCTCTTTCGGTCGGCCAATTGATTTGATTAACCAAAATACAATTTTCTTCTTCATATACGCTGTTGCAAATTTTCTATACCAAAAAAAAATATTTACGAGTGCTTGTTGTAAATTAGAATTGTTATATATTTTTTTTATTTGTAAATAATAATATTAAATAAATTAAAACTTACATAACTATTTTAGGTCCTTAAGAATATTTATGAGAAGCACATGAAAATGAATTAACTTCATTATCAGGATTCAGAGATGCTAAATAATAACTTTACGCTATAAATAGGAAGCAAGAAATTAACGAATCAAATTTCATCCTGATCCATGAATGCATAACATCCCTATTTCATTTTAAATCCCTTTTTTCATTTAAAAATAATTTATTAACATATTATTTAATATAGCCAATTTAGTTTTTCTTTTTGTTTACATAAGTGTATAATCTTTTTTTTTTGAAACCTTCAAAGTTGATTTTCTCTATTATTTTTTAAATCAATGAATTTACATGGTTGACTACCCCACCTACGTATAAATTAATAAAAAAAATTAATGATTTTGACAAGAACACTTATAAGAGAAATTATCATTTTGCCCAAAGAAAATCATTATATAGTTTTAATAAGTGTAAAAATCTACTTAAAAACGCAAATAAATCAAAATTTCTATAGAATTGATATTTAAATATTACTATTAAACTTCCTTTTTTAAAAAATATTATGAGTTGAAACATGCGTTTTTGCACCCCCAAAAGAAGGTTTATAGCTTAAAAATTGTCCAATTAAAAATCCATGAAACTTTGCAGAAATATACTTTCTTTAGAATAGAATTTAAAGCTATACTAAAAAAAAACAAGGTCAAATTATATAGACAAATTTTTTTTAAACTAATTTTCTTCCGGGGCGTAACTAGACTTTTCCATTTTACCAGGGCTCAGGGGTATGCAATTTTTTAATATTACAAACAATGTAAGAGTAATAAATTTTTTACTTAAATTCTTTTGCTTCTAATCTTATAAGAAATTATTTGTAAAAGCTGCATCTTATATTTGTACTTGTTATAACTTTAGGAAAACCTAATGTTAATGTTTTGAAACGTATTTCTTTTCCAAATAAAAGGGGGAGGGGGGTTGGGTTCAGTGTTTTTCGATGAAAAATTTTTGAACGCAACCTACCGTGCAAAAGTGACAAAATAAGCTATTATCATCTACCATTTATATGAGCATAGCATGTTCATCAATAATAAAGCCCATACAAATAATATTAAATTTAAAAAAATTAAAGTTCATGAGAAGTCTTGTTAAAAACCTTTAAAAAATCAAGATTTTAGAACTAAAACAATGTTGCCTCATTTTCAAGATTTCGTCAAGAGACAACATGGCCACCTTTTGCCGTAAATTTAAGTTATTCTTTGAGTAAAATCTTTATTTAGTCGTTATTTTTAAAAAAATCGGCTAAATCTTTTACAACACTCCTTAAGTGTTCTTGGGAAAATTTTTGAATGCACCTTATTTTAAACGTTTTATTGCAAAAAATGATATTTCTCATGCATAGGAATTATAGGGTATGTGTATGCTAATTGTATTTGTAAACAAATAAAAGTGCGATGATATGCGCATAATTAAAATTTATTAATGAAAATAAAGATTTTAATGTTTTTCACTAACATCATAAAATAATTTTCAATAAGTAGATACACTTTAATAGAGTTTATTTAAATTATAAGGTATAATAAAAGAAAGTTTATTTATAATAGAATCAAAAAAAACAATCTTATGAGTAAAAATGCCTAGACAACTTTTACCATATCATAATTTTTATTGCAATGAAACTGCTAAAACAAAAATCCATTTGTTTAGATGAAGATTTATTTGAGGAATTATTTATAAAATTATCATGAAATCAAATTGGATATTAAGAAAAATGCTAAAAGATGGGGGAAGGGGGGGGGGTGGCTTGCTTCTAAAAATCGCAAATTAATATTTGTATTAATTTGACACTCCAAAAGTTAGACGACCCAAATAGCATCATCTCTATATTGACTACTGATTAATTATTAAAAATAATCGCAATTCTCGTAAAGATGAAACAATTAGAAAAAACCTGCTTAAAAAATTGGCTTGGCATCTTTTAATTAAATTAATATGCATTTTAATTTCGTAATATGATAGAGATATTTTTTTTTTACAATTTTTCTCCGTTTGAAATTACAAAAGCAATAAAATTCTGATAATATTTATTTTTTTTTGAAACACGAATTATTTATCGAATACAAATAAAAATCGTGAATTGTTCTTTTAAACGAATCGAGTACGATTTATTACCATTCGATTCATGTTCATTTTTTGAATAGGCCAGCCAACTTCAGAAGTCTACGAACTATAAAAGCCTATAAATGTTTTAAGAAAAATTATTTTATATAACATTAATTTATTTAAATTTAGTAGATATATTTAAATTTTTTAATTATGGATAATAAAGGAATTAACCAAGAATTTTTAAAAAAAATTTCAAATATATTTTGAGCATAAATCTTTAAAAAATTTTATTTTCGAAGAAAAACATTTAAATATTCTAAATATTTTTTTTGGAAAAAAAATCAAATATTCCTTCATGAATGAAATGACTAATTATTTTAAATCCAAATGAAAAACTAAATAAATAATATATAAAATCTTTTAAATTATTTTTACTTAATTTAGTTTAAATATATAAATATATTCAATTAAAATAGATGGCGTTAATACTTTTATTATTTTATTATACCTGTTATAGATCAATAAGTATTTTATAGGCTAATTTTTAAAAAAAATATTTGTATAATAATTATCTAACGAGCTTCACTTAAGATTATAAAAAAATTATTACATTAAAATTTATACAAAAAATTTAAAATTATTATTTAAGCGACCTTATTCTATAAATAACTTTGTCGCTATATACATGTCGCAATTCGCTGTTATCGTCCTTCGAAATTCTTCGCGAACAAAATTGTTATTATCATAACGAATTTTTTCCTCTGTTTTATAAATGCCACTTTTCGCATTTATATTTTTATTTTATAAATAAAAGTTAATTTCATTACTATTTTTAATGATATATTTTATAAAGTCCCATATGTTTTGGAATGTTCCGAAACAGGGACCCGAACCGTTATTTATAACGATTCAGTTTGATTACGGTTCAGTTGTAAAAAATTATATATATTATTTGAACATATAAGTAATATATTTTCTAATATAAATGGATTCCTTTTTATTCGTTGTGACGATAACACAAATTTTAGCACCGAAAAAGTCCTTTCTAAAGAAACTTGTGTTGCGGGAACCGCCAGTACTATAAGAGCAAGTTTGTATAATTCTGGATATTCAAATTATTTCCATTTCAAAAATATAAAACTGAACCGGTTTAACCGTTTTTTATAAAGGTTCTTTTTACTCCTCCAAAAAATAATTATATCGGTTCGGTTATGGTGGTTCAGATATTTATAACGGTTTATAAGGGTTAGGCGGTTCGTTACGGTTCACTCCGGGTCCCTGTCCGAAAGGCGTTCCTAAAAAAAATCTAATTTTAATTCATTCACTCCACAATGCAAAAAGAAATCTCTTAAGATTTTCCAATTTTTATTCATTCACCGTTAAATTATAAATCAGTTATGATATCTTTAAATATTAAAAAATAAAACATTTCTATATCAATAATATTTTTAGCGATAATGACATAAATTTGTTTAACAAAATTATACTTTTTGAAATTTAAAACCTTTACTAGGAATACCGTCCAAATAGATGCATAATTTTCCCAGGATGTGACAGGAACGCTCCATCATAATGTTTGAAAGTATATTTGTATCTTTTTGGATATTTTTGAAAGCATGTTTGTATTTGTATCTTTTTTGGAAATTTTTGATCACATTTTGTGCTACACTTTTTTTTTGCAGTGTAGGGATATAGATAGAATCCTTAATCCTTACACTTTATGCCATATTTACAAAACGAAATTTAAATACTTTATTTACAACAATAAAGGCCTATTTAATAAAAATAAATTATAAGTTTATAAAATGGTTTATGTAAATAGAGAGCCAAAGAGAAGAGATATAAGGGCCTTTATTGACATTGGGAAATAATAAAAATGTGATGGCTACAAAATTCGTACACAAAGATTCGGGTGACGACTGACTTTTGGTTAATGATAGATACTGTCAAGTCAACGTATAGCAATTTTCTAAATAGCACCAATTTGCTAAATACCAACCAAAATTTATTAAAATATAATAAGAGCCTTATTATTTAACATATATTGTAACTGAATCACGTGGTTGAGTCCGGCCTCCTATATATTATCCAGGACGGAACCACCAAGTTAGATTAAAAAGAAAAACATGATCTTTGCTGGGATTCGAACCCAGAACGATGCTCTTGCCGACTAGGCCAAAGTCGCTTTCCAAAAATCACGATTTTTCATATATATATTAAATATAAATTTGGTAGTACCTATCCAAATAAATAATATTAATCCAGACTTTTAGCAACATTTAACGACCCAGGCCGAGCCTGAATTTTCGTAAATTTTTCTGTCGCGCTGTGTTAAACTTTAAAATCGGGCCGATGTAGTATTGTAAAATCGCTATTATCGAAAAACACCATGGTAATGATTCGAATCACTATCGTAGCGATAATTTATGACCGAACCTTAACTTTTACGAATAATCATTATTATTAATTTTAAAAGTCACAGATTTTATTCATAAATATATTATCAATTCCTCAATAAATTATTTATTTTATAAAGTTTGGACAAAAGATTTCTGGTGTTTTAAGATATCGGTAAATGTATAATATATATTTTTTTTATCATATAAAGTATTACTAGCCATAGATGATTCCATAATATAATGATTTAATTATGTATTAACCAAGAAATTTATTTTTTGTGGTCCCCTTTTAGGTAGTGGGCAACTAAGATAACCGTATGTACGGCACACTGCTAATAATATATTTAAAAATCAATTATTATATTTTACTTTTACGCCATCTAATGTGTATTAATTTATAAAATTTAAAATGATTATTACTACTTTTGAAAACATTATAAGAACTAATCA